AACAACCCAGAAGACAGAAATCTTCATACTCATCGCCCTGATGACGGAGGCAGTATGACCTCTGAAACGTTGGTTAACATCGACCAGACTACACAGCGCAATAACCCAGAAGACGGATATCTTTATATAAATCATGTAATCTTAAACGTTTTATTATGCACTGTAAACGAAGACCACAACGTCACGTAAACACTGTGGTAGAATACTGGCCTCGTATGCATGGGGATAATGGGATGGAATCCTGATCAAGTGAAAATATCTCATTCATGCAGCCGCCATTATTACTTTATACTAAACGAATAATTTCCCTAGCATAGTTTCGTACTTGCAGAAAACCTGTAACCATCCATCACTGAATGGTCCCATTGCAAATAGTACTAATGTCGATACCTCATAAGTTTGCACGTCCGTCATGTTGGTACTACCGATTGTAGGAAGCTCTATGGTACGATTTTATGGTAGACTCCAACAGAAATACGAGCAAGTTCACTGCAGAGCTCGGACATGTCTGAAACTAGCAATAATCGATATCGCAGCAACCTAAACATCTCCCTACTAAGATTTTAAGTTTGAAAGACTAATACATTCACTGTAATTTTCTCTGGTGATCAACGCTGAGTTAAAAACTAACATTTCGGAGACCTACTGTCTCCATCAACAGGGTCAATCTCTTTCTGGATACAGCGCAGTGCCTCTGAACGCCTGAAGATTAGACTCCCTTGCACAACACAAGTGCAAGAGAAGTTGCAGCACAGTTACGGCGAACTCTACTGGCAGCTTCCAACCAAAACCTGCCAGTAGTCTGACTAACAGTTAAATATAGACGGCAAAGTCATGGTAAATAAAATATCCTTGTTTCATACCTCAACACCCCGCCATTCAGACGTATGGGAGAGTGGAAATATATTTCCACACATTCTTAACATCGGCGCTAAATGGTAGGTAGTGGTTAGCTTCACGACTCGGCCGTTTTATCCCCGAGAACGTAACGCCGGTTCCACCTGGATATTAGGCTGGGTCGAACTCAGAGCTGGTCCTGGGGTGACGGTGAAGATAAAAAATAAGCCATAGAGAGAATCGAACCCTGGGCGTCCAGGCCGTATTCCAGATACTACACAAGACTGACGATTCTCGTTGAAATCAACACGAGATTTAAAATATTAACAAACAAGTCATATTTGTTATGTCTAATACGTCGTCTAAAATACTAATAAAACTTATAACAACTAAAGATGAAGTTTTTAAGGTTTGTTATAATAAAATTATATTTAACTAACGTATATCTACAAAACAACAACGTGTTCCAAAAAATATTTACGAATAATGCGTCGCTAAGAAGTTTATGGCGAGATTCAATCTCCTATCGATGTGACACTCTGCATTAACAAAACAATTATACGCTGACGAAGTGATGATTCTCATCATATCAGTGAAGTTTTTAGCGTCTTAATACTAACATTCCACAGACTGCGATGATCATAAAACGCTTTTTTCCAGTGGATGGGTCTAGTCTGGGCTACTGACAGCATTGTTAAATAAACAGCACATAAACGAACACAACTACTTTTCCTTTACGTGTTC